CATTAAAAACCCACGCTGTTCTGTCTTCTGTAATGAATATAAGTACAAGGGCTCCGGAATCTTTCAGTAAACACAGCATCTACAAATGCAAGTTTAGGCTCCACTATGCAAAGTGAAAGCCATATATCAACAACATCCAGAGACACCGCCAACTTCTCTGGGCTAAAGACATTGTGTTCTCTGGGCCAAATAGGAAAAGGACCATCCTGGCTGATACCAATGTAAAGTTCAAAAGCCAGTTTGTCATAGTATGGGGGGTGTTAGTGCCAGTGGCATGGCTAACTTAGATCTGTCAAGGCACCATTAAAGCGGAGGGGTACACATTTTTTTTGGAGCAACATATGCCGCCATCTAAATGATGTCTTTTTCAGGGACATCCCTGCTTGCTTCCATAAGACAATGCCAAGCCATGTGTTACAAATGTGTTGTAGTAAGAGAGTGCAAGTGTCAGACTGGCCTGCCTGCAGTCCAGAACTGGAGACCCCCGACTGGTGAGCAGGTGAATTGATATATCAAGCAAGAATAGGCAAAAAATACCACTTTTACAACTGCAACAATTGGTGTCCTCAGTTTCCAAATGCTTACAGAGTGTTGTTAAAAGAGGAGGTGATGAAACACAGTGGTGAACATGCCCCCGTTCTAACTTTTTTGGAACATGTTGTTGGCATCAAATTGAGAATAAGCATATACATACAAAAAATTACAATAAGTTAAATCAATTTAAACAGTAATTATCTTGTATTTGTGCTGTTCTCAGTTGAATACACGTCAAAAAGGATTTGTCTGTTTTTATTTATATTTTCCTACTGTCTTTGTTGGAATTAGGTTTGTATATTAATACTGTATTCCCCTTAGTTTCATATTACTTGGGAAAACTGCTTAATTGGCCACCTGATTCATATTTATCCACTTTGCCACAGTGCTAGGGTATGCAACACTGTGCCATGTGCAAATGCCACCCCTATTTGTCCATAAAAGTGAAAAAAGTGTTTTACTGCATCATGGGAAAAGCATGGCTAGTTAGCATATGATGCAAATGTTGTTACGCTAGCTTTCATTTATTACTCGCCACATTAGCACCAGTGAGTTAGACATTTTTGCAAGAGGCTTGAGTACAATTACATTCAACATGTCACACTTGGGAAAGTGTGGAACTTGAAATTTACAAGGACATTTTTATGCGCTTAGCAAAGAACATCTGGTCAAAATGTGGTGACTCCAAACATCTGTACAGCCAGTTCTAAGTGGTTCTCACAACACTGTAAGCATCAGAGCAACCACTAGCTTGTTGTGGTCTGTGAGAAATAGCTCTTGCCAAAGGCCTGCTTGAAGGTGATCAGTTACCTTAATGAACAGTGAGTGAGGAGCCTGACAATGGCACTCTAACAACAGAGACGAGAAGGGATTTGTCAGGGCTTTGCTGGAGAGAAATAAACAGCAAAAGCCTGAGTCGTGCTTTCCAGGCATGGACTCGCCTTGCGTGTCTATTTTAGCACACTCTTATGCCCAGTATGATCCCTCTGAAGATCTCTGACCAAAGGAAGAACAAAAGTCATGAAACAATGCCCTGAGGACAGTATTCATTGCCGTGCCTTTAACATTTTACATTTTGCTGCTGTGGTTTATGTAACATTTCAACTGTTATTTAATTGCATGAAAAGCACAACCAGCCAACACTCATTCCAGCCTAAAGTGCAAGTGGTTCACACTCTTAAAAATTCCATTGACACCTTGGGTGATGTCTATCATATGGCTTTTTATGATAAGGTATTTATACATTTGTTAATTTTGTTTGGAGGTTTGTGTGATGTAATTAAAAAGCTGGAATAGTACCACTGCCAGGTTTTCAAAAGTTGGCTTTTGGATTAAGTTATACATTTAAAAGAGCCAGTGAACATCAAGATTTAACCCTTAGAAGCCTAGTGATATTACTTTGTATTCCTATACTATTCAAATGCATTTATTTAATTACACTCAATTAAATAGTAAATTATGTAATTCATTGCATTTTGATTTGAGTTACATTCTGTAACAACAGATTCAAGACTACACTTCTTGTTTTAAAGTCAATAAATGAGAAAAACATGAAAAAACATGTAACACCTGGTTTCATTGCTCCAAAACAAGATGGCAATAACTTTCCAAACATATTCAAATCATAATCAATCTACTATTGCTTCTACCACAAACTTGATATTGATTGAAAGCTTAGATTCGACACTTTTGACACAAGTTCTCTGCTCCTGGTTTGAGTGAGCAGTGAGTGAGAAACAGTTAATACCACAGTACACAATGCTTTTTTTACACTCGGTGTAATGAAAATAGTTGACACTATCAAAAGTTGGTGCATTAAGCTTAAACTTGCATGAGCAGAAGTTGCCACAAGTCCAGTATACATACAACTATACCTGCATAACAGTTGATGCTCGCCTGTGTTGTGTTGTGGTGCAGAGCTAACACTGAACAAAAAAGTTCACCTAATTCATTTATTTAGGTATGGTTTACATTCTGAAAGATGACCATTGAGAATCATTTTAGGCTTCTCAGCTGAGGATTGATGCAACATTACTTAATAATCTATCTGTCATTGTCCGTCATGTATTCGTTTCAATCTATTCCCAGGTGGGCAACCAGGGTCCTTTCTGTGTGGAGTTTGCATGTTCTCCCCGTGTCTGCGTGGGTTTCCTTCGGGTACTCTGGTTTCCTCCCACAGTCAAAACTGACATGCAGTCAGGCTGATTGGACGTGCTAAATTGACGCTAGGTGTGAATGTGTGTGTGAATGTATATGTCTGTTTGTCTGCCCTGTGATGGACTGGCGACCTGTCCATGGTGTGTCCTGCCTTCTGCCCAATGACAGCTGGGATAGGCTCCAGCACCCCTTCGCGACCCAGAAGGATAAACGGTTTAGATGATGTGTGTGTGTGTGTGTGTGTGTGTGTGTGTGTGTGTATTCATTTCAATCAATTTATGTATGTTTTATTAAGCTATTTTATTTTATTAAACTATTTTGGTCACTGTAGGCTTAAATCTTTCACAACCCAGTCAGTTTAAAATGAACTGAGAGGTGGGCTCCCGAGTGGTGCAACCGTCTAAGCGTTGGCCCTATCATCAGGAGATTGCGAGTTCGATCTACAGCCATCCGTAGCCGGGAGTTCAAGAGAGCACAATTGGCCCCGCTCTCTCTCTGGCTGGGTAGGATGGCCCCTCCTTCTCCCCCCATGACTTAACGCGATGCTAGTCAGCGCAGACGTCTGTTAGCTGACATAACAGATCTGGCAGTTGGCGCTTTCCTCCAAGCTCGGCAGTTCGAAAAGAAGCGGTCTCCCCAGTCTTCTTAATCATGTTTGTGGCACGCAGAGGTGGGTAGTAACTAGTTACATTTACTCAAGTGCATATACTGAAGTAAAATATTGATGGATTTGTACTCTGCTGAGTATTTTCAAATTGTAATACTTTTACTTCTACTCAAGCATATTAGTGAGTAAAGGAATCTACTTTTACTCAGTTACATTTCAGCTACTCATATTCAGTCACCAATTCCTATTTTATGTTTAATTTCAATCTGTTTTGTTGTTGGCAGCATCTGTATTATTTGTGATTGGTCACATCTGAGACTTTTGAGCTTTATAATTTTGTTTTAGGCCAAAATAATCCAAAAAAGAGAAAAATGGAGCCATACAGTCTCCAGTTCTTGTGCTGAGAGATGCTGGATTTACTAAGAACTTTCACTGCAGGTCTCTGTTACTCAGTACTTAAGTAGCTTTTTGACCTAATACGTTTGTACTTCTTGTATTTTACCCACTTATCAGTACTTTTACATGAATATTGATATAAGTCACTCTACCCACCAAGAGGCACACATGTTTAGTAGTAATGATACTAGTAGTTTTTAGCATCTAAGTTTCCATAATGCTTCCTGGTTCTCAGTCAGACTCCACTGCACACTTCAATTCCCAGAATCCCTCAGTTTGTCATGTGATTCCACTAACCAATCACATGCCAACCAGCAGATCTCAGTCACCTGAGAACTGATTATCAACACCTGTGTTCCTGTGTATATAAACCTGCATTCTTGCTTTATGAAGTGTTGCCTCTGTTCTGTCAGTGCACACTTTTATTTGCTAGCTGTCCTGTTTATGACACTGTTCTGTTTCTCTTTTGTGATTCTTGGATTTGTCCCTTTGGCTAAGTCTACCTGTGTATTTGCTCCTTGATTATGACCCTCGTTTGTTTATCTCATTCTGTTTTCGCCTTCGCCCATGTGTTGTGTTTTGTTGGTCTGGTTTCTAACCTGGTCTTGTGTTAACCCTGTTACTTTGGCTAATCCTCTTTTTTTAACAAACCCTATGGTTTATTTTTGTCTGCGGATTCATCAACCCAGCGTTACAAAACCTAGTGTTGTTCTTACACTGTGTGGTGCTATTATAGAAGGATGCTCACCTACGTCAGTTTAACCACATGGCTGTTTTTACTTTTACCTAAAAGAGGTGATGAGTGATAAGTAGAGGAGATCATTCTTGTAGCCACTGGGACTGATTACTGTGTCCAGCTGTCCAGGCATTGACCTTGCTGTGCTTGTCCATGACACATGATATAAAGTGCTTCTGACCACATAAATTAAATCTATATATCCTTTTGGCTGCATTGTCCCAAATCCATTCCCTGTTTTAATTCACACACATCCATTTTCTCACAAGCATGGGCCATGTGGACCTCCGTCAACAACACGAGTGAATGACTCCAGTATCTCAGATTAAAAACTGTTTTTTAGTGGTGCGAACAAAAAAAGAACAATTACCCAGAATGCTGAGTAAAAAGATGGAGGCTATATCTGAATACTCAAATGTGAAATTGGAACCTGAACCAAGTCCAGCACATGCTTTAGGAATGACGTTCGAACCCCACCAAACCTGATGCAAGCAGTTTGTTCTTATAAGGTGAACAAATATCTCCAGCAGAGCTGAAGAAGTGATGAGTGAAAGGTAGAGGTCATCATACCTGTAGCCACTGGGACTGATCACTGTGTCCAGCTGTCCAGGCATTGACCTTGCCCTGCTTGTCCAGCCGGGCTTTGCCAGGCTCCCAGGTGAACATGTCCATGTTGAGCGTTCGGAAGATGCTGGATGCCGTGATCTGGTAATCCTGAATGTGGCCAGACTTCATCCCCAGTGGCTCGGAGCATCCTGCAGAGTTAATAGCTTATAATTAGCTCCGGGTCTCCGCTGCATTGTGGAAAGCTGAATGTCAAGCATGGAAATCGACTCACGCTTCAGGAGGTCTTATAGCTCCTTTGCTACATTCTAAAGGTACTTAAATGAGTCTTTGTGGCTGAAAATGCTTTGTAGGGGCAAATGGTCACTTCTGGAGCCAAGTGCAAGCAGCCATGTGAATGACTGTTTTATCGAGTCATTGTATGCACCAAATTAATGCACATCCACACTAGTGTTTAACAGTTGGGATCATCTATTCACATTATGTTTTTGTCTTAACCCCTTAAAAGGCCAGGGCCCATCAGTGTTACACACCTCTATAACCTAAGAATAGCTCAACCAGTTTGCATTGGAGTCCCTATAGTTACGGAATAATAAGCCTTAGTATGTAATACGTCTGGAATTTTAAGGGGTTAAAATATCTGCTCTGAGATTTGATCATCACTGGAATTCTAAATATTGATTTTAATGCTCCAAGATATACAGATTTTAGAACAATATACAACTTTGTTCATCATTCTGAAAACATCAAAAATTTTTAACAAACAGTTCTTGGTTGGTTTATGATCACAGTGCTTGTACAGTTGTTTGTAAAGATTTGAGGTTTATTTGTTTTACAGAAACAATTTGGGCGATTTGGGTGACTACTGACTTCTAGTTTTTGTTAGCAATGTTGGCCTCGTAGCTCCAGTTCTAAACTAAGGAAACAACATTTGGACTTCAAACATGTCTTGGCTAATTAGCTACATCTAGGATAAGTGAAGAATTGGGCAAATCTGATGTATTGCTAAGCTATTTGTTTAAGGCTGTCTTTCTGCTGTTTGGGTTCACATAAGAAATTTAATTATTGAGAATTACCCATCACAGCTGACTAGGAGACAGACTTGGAGTCTGTTTCATTTCTGACCTTTATTAAAGTATATCAATCAATATCGCGGGTTATTGGAATTTGGAATTCCCTAAAATTTATATCAGCATTTCTTTTTGGACATGCCCTAGCTTGGAATGAGTTCTGAGAAAATAAGCTGCAGAAAAATCACTGTGCAGTCTGACCTGTGAGTTCACAGCCCAGCAGCTCCATGCGCAGAGTGCAGTGTCTCCGGCAGACCTGTGGGTAGATCCTCACATACTGGGCCTCGATGGGTGGCGTGAAGGAGTTGGCCGAGGGAGTGTTGTTATCGACGTTTCCCCGGAAGATCTGCATGTGGTCAGCCAGACAGAGATTTCAGTCTTCATAATAAACATACCACAGCTACACTTGTGGTCAGAGATCTAATTTATGTCACTGTCATAAGAACACCTCATAAGTCCATTATTTTTCCAGCGTGTATTTTGTACACCACTCAAAAACGCCACTCCTTTGCATTGTATGAGCACAGTTGATATAAATTGATACACTTGGACAAGGAAGGGGTCCTCAAAGGAAACTAAGTGGAAAAAAAAAAAAAGTTTCCAAACCTGGAATTTCAAAAAATGGTTAAAAGGTATAGAGATAAAATGGGACTTCTAACAACAGTGCAAGTCTTGGTAGACCACCAGAACTGTCCCCATCAGATAAACAACACTTAAAGCTTTCGTTTTTGAGAGAGGAGAAAATCAAGCTCCACTTTTGCTTCAGGTGGGAAAACATCCACAGGTGATCCTGTCCATCCTTCCACTGTGAGAAGATACCTCAAAGCTTCAGGTGTTCTCAGAACAATGAACTGGTCACCCCAAAGTCCAGACTTCAACATCATTGAATTGGTTTTAAAAACTTGGATCATGAGAAGGAAAATATTTAACCAAGTTCTAAGACTGAACTTTGAAGTTGTGGAAAAATATCCCTGCAGATTCTTTTGAAAAAAGAAAAAAAAAAAGTGTTTCTCTTAAATAGAAAGGCAAAGAGCAAACACACTAAAAACTGAACAGATGGGTATTTAGTCGTTGAGACTTGTGTAACGTTTTGTTGAATTTTTGTTTTCTGCTTTTCACTAAAGCTGAAAAGCAAATTACTTGTATTCTGTGACCATTTGACTGACTAAATGGGTGGTCTCTGACTTTTGCACAGTACTGTGTGTAGAATTTCTTCAGGTCTGTTGGAAAAGCACCCCAGATAGCTTCTCATGGAGCTGCTTGAGAGAATGTCGAGAGTGTGCAAAGCTGCATCAAGGCAAAGGGTAGAAGTATCTAATCTAAGAAAAGTATCTGAGCAACTAAAGAAAATTATATAGGTTTGATTTATGTAGCATTTTTAATAACTAAATCATTTCATCTGTTACTTCTGGAAAATAGTAAAAAAAAAGAAACCCTTCTATTAGTAGGTGTGTCCATTTAAGAAGGTACTTTAGGCTATTATATTATTTGTCACAATACAAATTACCATATACTTTACATATTGTTGAAAAAAATGGCTGTTAGCCTATGGGAGCAATGCCCCACTATTCCTCAGTACTTTACTGTCAAAGAGCCCATAATGACTTCATCCTAGTCCACCCTGCGTCCGGCGCGCCACGATTGAACAAATAAAACTGACACGGGACAAGAAAAAGAACATCCTAGACAAAAGCAGACAATGATACAGCAGAGAGTAGCCATCCCCTCCCAAAGTCATTAGAGGAGATCATAAAAAATACCAAAAGAAAAAAAAACTATGAGTGGGAATTGAGTGCGGGTAATAGAAAACGAAGGGAGGGGTCCCGTCAAAAATGATGGAGCATCACACGTCCTCGGTGGCCCCCTGTGGCTCTCCTTCATCCCCAAACAGTATAAAAAATCCAATCTGAAGAGCTATTAAAGCGAGAGGTGGAGGAGGGGGGCTGGGGGTTGAAGTGGTGCGAAAGACTAGCCGGGCCGCTAATTAAAAAGGCATCTCACCATATCCTCGTCCGTGCCCTTGACTTTGTACGTCCTCCAGGTCTTTCCGTCGTCGCTGGAGGCCACTTTGTAGGACTTGACGTACTCTGGGCTGCCGATGCGCTTGGCCCCCTGGGTTATCAGCCCCGTGACCCGCATCCTTCTCTGCAGGTTTATCTGGGCACAGAGAGAGAGAGAAACAGAGAGAGGTAATCAGCGGTGACCTTCTCACGTAGGCTCACCAAAGGGCAGACTAAAAAGAGGGAGAGGGGGAGATTAGCGGAAAGAGGCAGATGCATGGAGCCTCCTTGTCATTTGCATATGCAACATAGCCCTGTAATTTAGAGTCTATACATTCAGTGCCAGTCAATTATAACATCCAACATTTTGACACCTGTCATTAGAATTACCAGTAATGGTAACACAACAGTGTTACATTACTAGACATCATATATCACGACAACGTATGACAGCACATGACATCTGCCATGACATGTTTATGGTATCATTATGCAATGTTATGTAGTGAGATTCAAGTAAACTGTTACAGCTGGCAGCTTACACAACTTTGCAATCTACAACATTTAAAACAACAACACTACATAACATAGCACTTCACAGACATAAACAAGCCCTGGCCCCCAAAACAAACCCTCATGTATCTCCAGTAGTCTTATTCTATAACCCAGCAAAGGTACCACACAAGCCAGGCTTGACATAAAGCTTGGTAGTAACAAATATGTACACCTCAAACATTTTTTGGTTCAAAGCTAAAAACACTAAATGATTTACGCTTTGATTTACTTACAGCTCTAATCATGACCCTGGTTTGAACAAAAAATATAGTTTCAGTTCAGTGAAAGTTGCTGAAACGTCAAAAATGTGTTGTTTGACCAGAAACTGTTGTTAAAAAGCTGCATATTTGGCTGTCACAAGGAATTATTAATGAATAAACAATGACTACAGGTATTCATGTTTACTCAGTACTACTTGCACACACCATTCTTTTCTATACTGAATATTTTTCCATGAGATGTAACAAGTCAGAACAAGCTGTTGCTGATTGGTTGTGAACATGTCATTGTCATGTGAAAGTGATGTACACAGTTGTTAGTTCTCATTAGTTAAACACAACTTAATGACTTGTGCTGCAACCACATTTAGTAAAAGGATAGTTTGAAACTAACTAGTGTTGATCAAGCACTTAGTAAAAACAGACAATGGAAAAATGGTACACAATGGTACAAAATGGTCCAACGCTCTAAAGTTTTCTATTCGCCAACAAAGAAAACCATGCCCACTACTTATTAAAATCCCAGGCTCATTGCACCCTTAGGCTTATTCAGTAACTACATGGACTACATTGCAAACTAGATGAGTTCTTAAGTGGGTCCTGGCCATATAAACGAAGAAATAAATACATGGAAAAACTGTTGTGGGCAGCATACAAATATATTTGTCCATACATAAGCACGGGGCCTTGCACTTATGGTGAAGTCTCAATCCATCTCATTCCAAACTGAGTCAACACATACACTGTCATCCTTGAGCACACAGCAGGAGCATACAGCAGAAGCGTAAGTAATGGAGCTTTGATAACAACTCCCACGCCGTTTGTGCGCCACATCTCGTCTGTCTTACTTATAGGAAAATGGCTAGAGACCCTGGGGACTGCATTGAGGCATTTAGTCTACCTTCAAACAGCAAGTGAGAGCAGTCAGTCAAGGCTAGCGGTGCCATGCCTGAGGTAAAACTCTGTCTCTGAGCTACCTGAGATGAGGGGGTGGGGATTATCCAACTGTGCAGAAAGAGAGAGGGAGGGAGAAAAAGGAGAAGACAACAACATCTAGCTGGTGCTGGATAGTTGACAAAGTTCATTGTCTTGATATTTTCAAAAATATTGAACAGTATCATGATGTCAGATGATAGCATTAACAAAGTTAATGAGCCGCTGCTTCCTGAGTGCAGACTGTACTAAGATTTACAAACCTGACATACTTCTTTGGGTATTTTACTATTTTGTTCTGTTTTTTTTTGTTTGTTTGTTTTGTTTGTTTTTTCCCACCAAAATTAACTTTTAAGAACATTAAGAATATTAGAAAATAAGAACATCTGCCAAGGTGGAAGGGTAAAACTGACCAGTGACTCTGACTGCCACAGTGCCAGCAGCACTTCATTGTGTAAACAGACTCTTATTCACTGCCAGTTTGAGTTGTTTGGCTTATATGAGGGGGTATCAGGTTGGTATTAGTACAGTTTTTTTAGAAATATGAGTAAATGTGCATGGTATCAGATGGATGTCTGGTACTAGTATTGGTATTGATGCATCCCTAATCCTGTTCAACTCAACAAAAAAGGGCCAAAATCTCTCAATCAAAATAACCAGTGTTGCTCTTTATTCATCAGTCAATAGTACATTAATGCTCCATATCTATAAGCATAAACAACGAAATAAGTTGATGGCCTTTTTTGTTATAGATTAGATGATCATGTAGTTTGTAACCAGATTACATTTCTTGACTAATCTACTGAGCACTATTTATGCCTGTATATACAATATATCAGTCAACGCTATGTCTTGTGCTTTCCAACAGACAGTTATGAAATAAAGGCAAAGTAATAGTTGTGATGGTGAAGAGTGACTTGTTCCCATTGAGTGGAAAGATATGAGCATGTGTGTGTGAGGGAAAGTGTAAGTGTGTGAGAGCTCCACAGTCAGCTGCACTTGATGACAGCTAATTCACCCTCTTACAGCTCGTGATCAATGGCTCTGGGGCTTTTCACGGTCTGCACAAATCACAGGCTAGGTGTTTCTCTTCCATCCGAGCAATCTCGTCAGAGATGAATCAAAAGCCCATGACCACATGGCAAACAGACGCTAAACATGCATGCCTAAGACAAATACGTATCATTACGTCTCGGGACGCGTTTCCATCTGCTGTGAAGGGGATTATTTAGTCATTCCACAAGCCTCTTGGGCTTCTTAAAAATCCAATTAAAGCTATGGTGTGTAGGCTTGACATGTTTGGTAGTAAGTCACATGCTGCTGGATCGCTGTTAGTCACACTGCCAGCTACTTGGCCTGCTCCAGTGAGATTTTCTATGTGAATTCACATCTTCACTTTTTACTGCTGCACATCTATAGCAATGAAATAACATTCATTTTTTGCTAATGGCTCAACAGAAAATTCTGCTAAGACTACATGACACCTACATAGGCCTTTCATGACAGCTTACATAAACCTACGTAAACATTTCTTATTCCAACAAGCAGGAGAAATCATAAAATGCTGCTTCTGTCCATTTTGATGTCATTACGCTTCAGGCAGTGTTGGAATAAACCTTTATAAATGTTTACATATGATTAAAAAAACAGCAGCAGCAGAATGTCAGAAAAAAAAAATAACAGTAAAAGTAAGTTTTCTCAACAAAAAAATCTGTAAAATTTAATTTCTTAGAAATACAGCTTTTTGCTATAATTCAACAGTTTCACTAGTTATTCTGACATACAGTATTCCATTCCATCATAATAACAGCAACAACAACTGCTCAAATAAGTGCAAATGTGAAATAAAGGTGATCATTTGTTTTTGTTAATTTACATTCAATTGATGTAAATTAACAACAGCAGTGTTAAAATACAGTATATGTATGGTTTATTTACATTCATTTAACCCTTTGTTTTTTTATCCAAATACCTTTTTTTTCAGAGTGTATGTTTATCAGTTGTGATGAAAGGCTCATGTAGGTGTTAGATAGCCTTCTGAGTGCTGCCCTTTAGAAATGTGAAAACTACTTTATTATAGCTTTTACTGTATCCAATCATAAAATAATGTTCCCATAGGAAAACCAAATACAGGATATTGCTTTACAGTTCACAATCTCTTTGACAAAACTGAATGGGATTCAACACCACATGGAGTTATGAATAAGGGCCATGACTGAAGTTCCTCCTCATTCCAATCTAACTTCCTTCCATTTCCTGAGACAAAGTTTTTGCACTCAATCCCCATTTACTTTCTTTCCTATTCCTCAGTCTCTCACTCCTGCTTCTGCTCATTAAAGGGGGTCTTCCCTCCTACAGGCATACAATCAACAAAATATTAAAGGCATGATCTGAGCAAATTTGAGATAGATAGATCTTTCCTGACCCATTTCATTGAAATTCTTTAGAAACTATTTGAAATCTTTGCCTCAGTGATGATGTTGTACCTCAGTGCTGTTAACCAGAGGTAACTGCAGGGGAAAAAAGAGTAGATAAAAGGCTTTGGCTGAAATTAATGCATCATTGCTTTTATGCATAATACACAAACAGGTGAACAGAGTAGAGGTGAAAACAAAAATTTATAGAAGGTAGCCAAGGGGATCTTTTGGTCACTGCAAAAGACCTGAGGCTGCCCCTTCAGATGAGTTAATGATCCTAAAAAGCTACTACTAGAGCTAGATGGTGATGACTCATGAGCTTCTATGCAAGATTTTTTTCTCTTCTGTAGATAATGCGGCAATGTGTCGTGGTAACATTGAGTATCTGTAAGAAATATCTATTCATTATTGTTGCTAGCTGATGCCAGGTACAGCAGTTAGCCTAGATACAACCATGTTACCTCTGTCTTCTCAATCATGTTAAGGCACTGTTGTTTCACACTATCAAAGTATAATGTTTTCTCAAAAATATTAATCACAAATATGAGCAGAACTGTGGCACTTTACAGCTCTGTTAAAACCATTAACAGCTTTTTTACTGAACGGTTGGCCTGTATTTTTTTATCCATGACATTCCCTAATGCAGCATAACACATTCCCAAATAGCAATTTCAGTATTTAAGTGGCATCTGAAATGGCTAATTGATTACTGGCATTTATGTGCATATCCCCCGTCATAGCTCAAACATTTCTCAGACATCACAAACAATGTCATTTCCCATTTAAACCTCTTCAACAACACTCATCTCATTGGATTCCCACTGCTTTTCCTTATAAATGAACTGTATGTAAAAGAGAAATGAACTATGATCTCCATGCATGAATCTTAGTGACTTGGATATCTCAGAACGTGTCCTCTTCTTCATATTTCTATTGCTGTCAAGGGACAATAGTTGTCTGACCCCAGATGATACATAGTTAAGTAGTTGTTTTCATACACACTTTCCCATTTGTATGAAGATACATGTTCATAT